ATGAAAGGACGATAGCACCTCTTCGCGGATTGAATGTTCATTTGAATGAGAAGTTTAAAGTTGCGTTTTGTGAAGACAACCAAGCAACAATTCACATCATTCAGACTGGAAATTCCGCACAGCTTCGTCATGCTGACAGAACTCAAAGAACTTCTTTGGCGTGGCTTCGAGAACAATTCACGAAAGGTTTCTTCAATCTCGTCAATGTCAACACTGTGTATCAGGTTGCGGACATCTTGACCAAGCCGTTTACGAGCAAAGCAAAATGGGATCACGCGTGCAATCTTATTGGAGTACGGTGGGTGCAGTTGGATGGAAACATTACAATCAAACCAGCCCCCACTAGCGAGGCGCAAGCTTCCGCCGTTTCCACGCATGAAACCTATGATCGGTTCTTGTGCGAATTTTGCTGTTCTGATGATTCCAAGCTCGGCGACAAATCAAGATTACCAGCATTTGGTTGCAAGGTGCTTAGAGTAACTGAGCGTCAGAATGCGTTGGTTGCTGATACATTGAAATGGGTATTTGACGAGGTGCAACTTTTCAGGAAGAATGTCAAGTCCAAAACACCGCCCTGCGTGATGCTTCATGCTTCACTTCCGTGTACGGGTGGGTGCCCCTGGAACAATATCAATGGTCAGACTCAAGAAGGTCAAGCCAAGATCCAGGAGCACAAGGCGTTGTTTCGCAAACTGCTGAAGCGTTTGGACAAACTTATCACTATGCTTCGACAGCTTGACATTGTGCTTGTGATCAACATGGAACTTCCTAAGCTTTGCAGTTATTGGAAGAACTATTTCGTGCATGATTTCCTATGAAATATGAGATGGTCAAGTACAATTGCGATGGTTGCATGTTTGGTGTCCTGGACAAGGATGGAAATTTGTTGCAAAAGTCATGGACTATTGCTTCTTCCTGTCAATCGTTGGCCAAACTGCAACAGTATAAGTGCACAAAGGATCATCAGCATGGACAGTCCAGGGGGGCGGCCCTCAAACGTGCTGAATCTTACACGTATGAAATGACTGACCTGATCCATGGATGTTTTTCTGAGTTTGCTGACAGCATGAAACAGGTTGTCACCGATAGCTCGGCTCAGAGACCCACAAAACGTGCACTTGTTGCTCTTAAGCTTCCCTCACCGGTAGCCGCAATGGCTGCTTACAATCTCGGGGAGTATGAGGAGGGCAACTTGGAGTACTGGCGAGGTGTGATGACGAGCTTCACGTCGAACACCTTGTTCCAGGAGACGAGGCCTGAGGATCGCAAGACAATGGAGCAGATCCTCGGAGCACAGGCCACCCTTCAGAGTTCATGCGCTATGTGGTCGGCTGACTACGCGCCGGAGCTCATGGATACGCTCTGCGCCGTTAACGACAAAGGTCTTGGCCGCATCACGCCCGGGGCAACCTGTGGCCGAAATAGCGTATACCTTGTTGTGAGTGACTCCAGCCTCGCCCTCATCAGCGGTGGCAAGAAGAACCGCAAGAGGGCGGATTTGGCGCAGGACATGAACTACAACTGCAGCACTGGTTGTAGCCACTGTGAGGTGAGAATGTGTTGGGGAAAGGACCTCACATTTCTCACGTGGACAGTGAAGAGCGCCATGAAGGACTTGAAGAAGCGCCCTGAGTTTAAGGACCACGACTTCTACGTGACGGTGTACTGGTCCGGGAACGAGCTCGTTGGCAGTGGTGGGATCTGCGATGAGCCCGAGTGGCCATACCGTTGCGGAGACGGTCACTGGCCCGAGCTGTTCAACAAGTGCGCCAAGGCGATCGATGTGCTTGAGGAGTGCAGGAGTTGGTGGGGCATTGCAAACATCACGATCTTGGCCAACACCGAAGGTTCGTACTATATGCTCCCGCCCATCTACAACCAGTTCATGGAAAAGTTGTTGGATGAGACGCTCAACAAGCACAAGCTCCTTCGCAAGAAGGAGTCGACGTTCTTGGTATCTCGTCAGGACCGGCTTGACAACTATCACATGGTGGACTCCATCGAGAACCGGAAGACGACGGTGGAGTGGCTGTGGTCGTTGTACAACGTCATGAAGTGTGTCGCTGTCGTTGAGTCCCACAAAGAAGATTTCAACAACATCAGGTTGTACCTTGAATATTCTCATGACGCTGAAGCTGGACTCAATCCCAACACGTTGGCCGAGTACGAGGCGAACAGGAAGCTCACTCTGGAGTCGTGGGAAAGCCTTCAACGTCCGATCAAGCTCGCGAAGGGCCGCATCCTCGAAAAGATCGAGGAAGTCGAAATCAAGGAGGAGATCGACTATGATGACGATGATGCACTCCCGCAAGGGAGTGCCGCTGAGGCTGCGCTTGGCGTCAAGGCCGCTCCGGCTACACCCAAGTTCACCGCGAAAGCATCGCCTAAGGTACAGGCGAAACCATCGCCTAAGGTACAGGCGAAACCATCAACTGCTGCGGTGGCATCGGATGTGCGGGGGGCAACCCCTGCCGGAAGCGCGTTGCCAGGCAAGCCCGGCGGAACCGTCATCTTCCGCGGCCAGGAGTATGAGGCGAGGATTCTCCCGGGCACGATCCTGAAGGTGCCCAACTTCATGAAGGGAGAAACGTCCTCTACCGATCGGTGCACAACCATATCTGGTATGCTTCGTGGCAGGTTTCAAGAACAGAGGCCACTCGACTTCGATGAGAACTATTTTGTCGACGTCCATCAGCTATGTGACAAATTCAACAGAAAGACCCGCAGCAATATCGGGTACAAAACGCTGTTGAAGATTTTTGCACTCGATCCGAAATGCAGATACACCGTCCTCGCGATCAAGCACCCTTCGGCTGCCGAGAACAACCAGGAGTGGGTTGTCATCAAGGTTCGTGCCAGTCAGGGACACGCCAGCAGCGTTGATGCTGATGGCGACATCAGCCGGAACCAGTATGCACTTGCGAAGGCCGTCTATGGGAAGTTTCTCCCGGAGGACGCTCGCAAGGTTGGACTGCAACTTTCACCGGTTGATGATGGCCCTGGCAAACTATACCATCGCACGAGCAAGAACGCAGCCGAGAACATCGTCAGGACAGGTTTGGTCCCGGGTGGCGTTGGTGTCACGGAGAGTGGCCGCTCGCAAAGCCATTTTTCCATCCACCCGGTAGAGAGCTCATCGTATAATGCTGGAGTCCGAGCAACGATGCCCATTGAGCTTGTGATCGACTTCAAGTATGCGATTGAGCTCGGAGTGGTGTTTTTCCTTTCCGAGTCTGATGTCATGCTGACCAACGACATCGTTCCCAATGACTCCATTCTGTACTACACAGACGCGAAGACCGGAGAAGTGCTTTGGAGAAACGCCCTTCGTCTTGAGGCATTGGAGAATCAAACGACTGTCGATATGCTCGCCGCAAGGCGAGCCGTCACTGTGACTGCAGACGAGGCCTTTCAGACCGATGCGGAGGGGAACAGGGCCACAAATCCTGAAGAAGAGCAGACAAATGAGGATACGGCCGCTTCTTGCCCGGGGCAACCCGCGGCCGACACCTCAGTTGTCCGTTTCAAGACCTTTGCGATGCCCGTCCACTACACGGACTGCAGCCTCTGCGGCGAGGACATGATGCAGGGGCAGCTCAAGTGTCAGCGCTGTGGACGGAGCACCAAGGAGAACAACGACGTTCAGCTCTTCAGAGCCGCAAAGCGGAGAACGCAGATGCTTGAGGAGGTGAGCCACCGCGTCGGCAAGACGGTTGACCAGCTCCTCATCAATGATTTCAAGGGCTATGCTGATGTTGCAAAGAGAGGAGCAACATCCTTTGAAGCCAAGCAGATCGAGGCTTCGAAGAACTACGACAGCAGGGCCCGCAAGCTTGGATACGACAATGTGGTAGATCGGTTTGACAAAGACGCGACCTTCGCCCTTCGCATGGTGGAGCAAGGGCACAACCGCGACAGCCTCTACCAGATGTCTATCTATAGGTTTTGTGTCCTCCCCGAATTTCCACGGAGTTATGATCAACGACTTCTCGGGGTTGGGCCACGCTATGGAAAACGAGGTCTCCAATATGTGAGGACCGTCTACGTCACCGGCGGCAAGGTCGGGGACTATGACGCCAGCCTGCTTGAGTTTCCATGGCTATTCTCGTACAACGGGAAAATGCTGAGTCTTCATCAATTCGTCGACCAGGTCAACATCCTCCCGGGGATGCGCAATCTCGTCACCTTTGGCGCGAAGTTCCCTACGCTCCGGGCAACCGGAGCCGTGGACCTCGAAGCTGAAGTCAAGGAGATTTGCGGCCAGGCGGAGGACGATGCGAAGAAGCTCGCACGGCGCAGCCAAAAGCAAAGCGCCGAGGACCGCGCCCGCGGACCTGTGCAAGCTGCTCAGCCCGCCTCCAGCTCCGCTGCCAGAAGCCGAAGCTGGAGAGATTGGGGCAGTCAGGACTGGAGCAGTCAGGACTGGAGCGGCTGGCAGTGGTCGACCTGGAGTTCGCGCGGCTGGTCTACTAGCGGAAGGTGGTGAATGCAATCCTCATCACAACGGAGCCCTTCTGAGAGAGAGTAGCAATTTGCATGCACGACGGATGTGTAATGTCCATTTTCAACGTGCAATGGATGTGCGTATGGAATCAAAGCAGGTTGCAAAACCTGCCGACATTTTCGTTGTTGCTCAATCTCAAATGAGGGGGGTGTGGATTCAGGTTCCAACCCTGTGCATGAGTGTACCTTGTACATGCTCCGCCGCTACAGACTTCAAGAGCACTATCAGCAGTGTGAAAAGTAGTCAACGGTTTGCTGCTTGCCTAGGTATTACCTTAGGTGGCCTAGGCTTGATAACACAGAAAGGGCAACAACAGGCACACCAAAAGCAAGCCCTGTTCTCTACTGCTATTGGGTTGGATCTTTAGACTTTATCGTTTTGGATTCCCCTCATATTTCCTTTTAACCAGCAAAAGTTTCACTTTTTGCTGGGGGATCTACAGCTCCCAAGTGGTATCGAACCCCCTTGGGGCAGACAGCGTGTTTCGACATGCCAGGTTCCTTTGCCTCCCCGCGTTGAAGCCGAGGCGGAGGATTCGCTCGATTTCGAGGTTTGTAGCAACTCGAGGCACGCTCTTTGGAGCCTTTCGACTTGTGTCCCATGTCATTCAGCTTAGGACAGAACGTGCCCTGGGCTGTGGCCTTGGCCCTGGGCTGCTCCCTAGTAGTCAACTCAGATTTGTTCAATCCCAAGTTCGTTTTTTGCTCGTGGCCCCGCATTTTCGAGGAAGGTCGCATTTTTGCCCAGTGTCCAAAACAGGCGGGCCCACTTTCTTGGGTTCCTAATCTACACCCAAGCCGACCCCCAGAGGCTCCCTCCGCTGGGACCGTCGGCAGCTTGGGCCACCCGGAGTTCTGCCACAAGCCCTGCCTCTTCGCCCTCAGCCGCTGCCCCAACGGCGCCGCCTGCGGCTCGGCTCGGCGGCGCTCGGCGCTCGGCGCTTGTCCGATGCTCGTACGCCGGCGACGCCGACGGCGCGGGGCACTTGAAAACGGTGGGTTGGTTTCAGCGGACACGTAAGAACGAGAATGGTTGCGTTTCCTCTGGGTTTCCTGTTGTCCTTTGAAAGCACGCCGGAGATCAAACGACACAGCCAAAGAAGAAGCCCTTGGTTCTTAGGCGCATCCTCAAACGGACTCTGTTTAGGAGTGACAGCCTCAATATTGCCACGTCCACGTTGCCGTGGAACTGACCAGAGGGTCATGTTTGCAGGACGAGTGTCTTTCAGGTCCCTGGGCTGCCATTTGAGCACGGCTGGCTTCCCTTTGAATTCTTGAGAAGCACTTGGTTCCCGGTCCCGGCGTGGAGAGGTTGTCGCAAGGAGAAGGAGCGACTCGGATGTTCATGCCATGGCCCGTGATCTCGCTCTCACGTTCTTATTCTGCTTTCTTTGCATTGTTTTTGTTTTTTAATTGTCCCTCTTGTGAGTCGTTGTGGAGTTGCTCAAGCAACAGACTTCTTGCGTCGAACCCATGCAAAGTTTCGGCACCTGCCGGATGTTGGTAAGACACATAGCACGCCGAATCTCTGTAGGTTTGCTCCCCTCGAGCAGTGGTCATGGATTCCTCTTGGATTCGTGGCGGAAGGAAGGCAAATCTCTCAGCAAAGATGTGCGTGGTGATCTCAGCGCCCCGCATGATCTCCCAAAAGAAGCTTTGGGCCGGCCCCTGCCCAACCATTTGCCGAGAGAAGGGCATCATAGGGCTCGGGCTACGAATGGCCCGGTGCTTTCTGCGGGGAGGTAGCTGCGTGTACAAACCAGGTGCTCCTCAGTTTTCGCTCCCAAAAGTGTGGACTGGGTCCTGGGTGCAACCCTGCGCTCGGCTGCCTGTCTTCAGTTTGCATTCTTAGGCCCCGGTGGGCCTTTTCCGTAGATATTGGGCCAATCCTGAGAGGTATGAGCTCTTTTTCTACCAGGATGATCCGAAGGCTCCTTTGTTGATCCGACGTGGGAAGACTCACTTTGGGTCGCTGAGGGCGATGATTCCTCGCTTTGGTGTCAAATCGAGTTGGACCTTCTCTTTTTTCAAAACCCAGAGATATATGGGTATGGGTCAAAAGCAAACCACCAGAAAACCGCAAGTTTTGGTCCGGGCTTCCATTTGCCGCGGCAGGCCATTTTGGGGGTTACCCTATTTTTGACCCGCAGCCATATGTTGGGCCTTCCTCTCCTGGAAAGGAAGCCGTTTACCAAATTTGTGCGGTGGGCGGGTGCGGTGGGGCTGGCCACCCCAGTCCCAGTTCTGAGTTGTCGCTTGCTGATCGGCGAAGCGAAGGCAGAGATAGATCCGGGGCTCGAAGGAAAGGGGCCAGAACTGATTTCTCGTTTCTCTGAAGGTCGCGTTTGTATGGCTGATGGAATCAGCGCAACGGGGGCCCGATTGGAAAGGCTCCTCTGTTGCGGAAGACAATCGCCCCTTCCATGAATCAAAGTCCTTGCATCGTCCGAAATTGCCGACCCCGCAATCTCGCCTCGCAAAGGCGGCCTATCAAATCCGTCGCCCTCACCCCCTCAACGACCCCCCCAGCCCAAGCCTCTTTGATCGTCTCAATGGCTGTGGTGGTCAAAACCGTTTTGGTATCCCATTTTGGTTGGTAGGTGAATTCACCACCCATTTTGGAACCTATTGTAGTGAAAACCAATGAGATCCCATCTTGGGGTAGGTGCACCACCCATTTTAGTCGGATTGGGATGTTCACCGCGGCTGCGGGATTTTGGCTTTTGAAAAGCCCATGGCAATTTTGGCATCTGGCTGTTGTTGGTTTTGCTTCTAACTTTGGATGGTGCCTAACGGACCAACTCAAGGGACCAATGCCGAGGCCGCAAGCTGTCTACATCACCCCAAGATAGGCCCTGAGAGACAACCGCTTTGATGACTCAATGACTCAAGCCTCTTTCATCCGACATGACTCAGCGCCAAGCCAAGCCCAGGCAACTTCTGCCACAAAGACCACGGCAAGCTCAGGAAGCTCAGCACCCGGCCGGCAAAAAAACAAACAAAAAAACGAGGCTTCAAACCACGGCCTTTAGGGGTTGGAGGTTTTCCATGGAAACAGGGGTCGGCAGCTTTTTCAGGTAAAAGTTAAGGTTTCTGAACTGTTCTTTTCATTTGTCTCTTTCTCTTTCTTGCGGCGCCATGCTGCGCTTCAACCTTTTCATGTTCAGCCATGTTTTGGGGGGACAGACATGAGATCGGGGGTGGCCTTTTCAACAACCCACCCCCCTCCCTCCCAAGCAAAGAGAAACAAAAAACAAGAAAGACATACTTTTTTTTCTGCACTAAGGGATCTGTTTCTCTCTCGAGACACTGCAAACTTCCTCTGCACCGAAATATCGTTGCCTTCGATGTTAAAGCTTTGACTACAACGGGCCCTAGTTTGGACACAGCAATATATTCCCGCGTTTGTTTGTCAACCTGTTGGGGTTTTGTTCTCAAGGGAAACCATGCGGGGGTGTTCAAAGTGTGTTTTTTTTTCCTTTTTTTTCCTTCTTTTTTTTTTCTTCTTTTTTAACCTTCACGCACTGTAATGTTTCACGTTTCTCATTTGGGCTCAAGGCCCTTCAGCACTCTCAGAGTGGAAAGACAAAAGCCTGATACCATCTTTGGCAGTTAGCTGTTGGACGGGGGGGGGGGACCAGATTACCACCCAGGAATACAGATGGGCCCCAATTTTTAGCAGACCCATTTAAGAACCACTTCTTTGTCCAGGCCTGGCGAAACTCGTAACCAGTTTTTTTTTTTTTTTTTTTTTTTTTTTTTTTTTTTTTTTTTTTTTTTTTTTTTTTTAATAATAATTAATAGATGTGGATCTTGTTTTACAAGCCCTCAGTCCAACAGGTTAACAAGAAGAACGGGTGTTTCTCCCTCAAATTGGCCCGGATTTCCAGAAAGGCGTGTTGCTCCTCCCATTTGTGACAGGGGTTGATTGCAGGCCGGGTTCCTCCAACAACGTTTTTTTTTTTTTTTTTTTTTTTTTTTTTTTTTTATAATAATTAATAGATGTGGATCTTGTCTTACAAGCCCTCAGTCCAACAGGTTAACAAGAAGAACGGGTGTTTCTCCCTCAAATTGGCCCGGATTTCCAGAAAGGCGTGTTGCTCCTCCCATTTGTGACAGGGGTTGATTGCAGGCCGGGTTCCTCCAACAACGTTTTTTTTTTTTTTTTTTTTTTTCTTTTTTTTTTCTTCTTTTTTTTCTTGATTTTTTTTTTTGAAATTCCAGTTTGTGTCAACATCAGGGTTCGTTCATCAGACGGGTTTGGTGTGATTGAGTGTGGTTACTGTATTTGTGGTTATTTGGTAACGACACAGTGGTTTATGTTTGTGGCTTGGGGATTGGAACCCCCGGATCTTGTGGGCAAATGGGAAGCTATTTCCGGAACACTTTCAAACGCAGGATTCGTTCCAAGCCACCAATCAGAGGGAAGCTGAAGGTTTGTGTTCAGGGTGGTGGGAACAAGGGAACCTCCCCCTTTACATGGGTTAGGCCCGTTCTGTTGTATCCCAGTGGATTCCATTTCCCACAGCTGTGGTCTTGGGCGAAGGCGGTCGGCATGTTTTTGTGGGTTTTACCCTGCCACCAATCCACAAGAAATCACACGGAACCTGACGTTCGGAACCCGGCTCCTAAAGGAGAATGTTTGTGTTGGTGGCTTGGGGATTTGAAATTCTGGATCTTGTGGGCAAATGGGAAGCTATTTCCGGAACACCTCCGAACTGCCGGGTTCGTTCCAGCCAATCCGAGGGAAGCTGAAGGTTTGTGTGGGTAGCCGGCAGCCACAGATCTAGGCAAGCAGCAGCGGGAGCTCTTGAGGCAGCTGGGGGAGGCGGAGCGTCTGGCCCTCATCTTGCCCCTCCTCAGGAGCGCGTTTTTTTTCTCCGTTGCTGTTGAAATGTGGGGGGTTTGCTTCTTTTTTAGGGTGCCCTGATGTTTGCCTTGTTTTTGCCTCAGAGATTTCGTTGTTTTGAGGGTACTTACTTGTGTTTTGAGGATACCTTTTTTGGGCTGGCTTGAAAGAAACCCGAAGGAACACCGTAGGGGTTCCCGAAAATTTGCGACGAACCCAAACGGAGGTTTAAAGGTTTGAAGTGAAACCGACTAGATCGAGGGAAGTGGACGTTGACGCGTTTTCGTGGTTTCAAGGGGGATTGCCTAAAACATGTTTCGGGTTAACTGGTGACTAAAAGCTATGGTTTGTCGGTGGAGTTTCCCACCGAGTTCCAGTCCAACGGGAAGCAATCGGAATGCCCCACTTTACATTCAAAGGCTGGTTGTTGCTCTGATTTTTGATTGTCCATTTTGGTGGCTCGTCCTTGGATCCCCAAAATGGCTTCGGTTTTCCTTTTGGCTGTTCCTTAAGCCAAGCCCAAAAAGCGCAGCAACTCAAATCAAGGAACACACACACACACGCATTCAAAGCAGAATCATTTTTCACGGGCGGATAGCATCTTTTCCGACTTTTTTTTGGGGGTATCTAAAGTGGACCATGTTCATCGCACGTGGGTTCTTTTTGCCCTCCCCCCTTCCCCCCCAACACATTGCCAAGCGCAATAAACTCTGGCGAGGTGTTTTTCCAATTTCAGGTACCCTCAATTGGTGATTTGGATTGGTGGTTTGGTGGACCCCACTTCATATTGAAGCCAAATCAAAAGATTAGGTTTTGTAACCCCAATCCGCAACTATTGGGTATGTGTGTCAAACTAGGGAGGCGTTTGTAACAGCCCCACCCCGAACATGGATACTCTCTTTCCAACGTCCGGAGACTGTATTGGGGCTTCCCTAAAAGGAAAGCTTTCGTCTTCCATCTTTTTTCTGTCAGATTTTATTGGATGGAGGGTCCTCAAACCCAATTGAGGGTGGGTCTTGTTTGGGGGGACTCCCTAAAATCGCTTCGGTTTCCCTTTGGGTTTCCCTTTAAGCTAACCAAACAAGGGGAGAAACCAGACCCCATCGGAGGCGTCGACCATCTTGTTTTGCAGGGCCAAGGATCTTCCGGAGGCCGACGGCTTGCTGACTCGCCTGGAGCGCCCCGGATCTTTTATGGAACAAGGAGAGAAGGGATTGGGGTCCAGGTACAAAAGGACTGCTTGGAGGGCTATCAAAAAAGACGATGTTGGGTTGAACTGGCCTAGCTCCTGTTAGTTTTGATCCAGTTGACCAATCAAACAGTTTGATCCATGTTGACCAATTGCATGCTGACCTTGGATTCATGGTTTGCCGAGACGAATGGGGACAAGGGCAGAATTGAGAAGAACAATAATTAACCTTGACCTCCAAATACTGTGGGAGAACTATTTTAGTATTGGACAATACTAGTTTAGTCTCGTGCAATGCAAATTAGAATTGTCGGAATGGAGCTTCCAATCGATCTAGTGTTGACGGAGCTTTGTTTTTGGGTGGCGAGTTTTGATTTGGCCTAGTATTGCAGGAGCTTTATTTTGAGATGTGCTGGACTTGAGATTCCCTTTGATCTAGTATTGCTGGAGCTGGCTTCTGAGATTCATTCGAGCTCCTATTTGAGGTAGTATTGTTGGCTTGAGTTTGCATTTGATGTAGTATGGCTGGAGCTTGAGTTTGAGATGTTGTTTTGAGTTTGTAGCGGATTTAGTATTTCTTCAGCGAACTCAAAAGTGGGTGAGAACCAGGTGGCCCAGATCAATATGAGGGGGAACCCGCATTATGTTGTTCGAGTGTTGGCTATGGGCACTGTGGGGGTACTCCATGTGACCTTGTCAAACAATTCTTTGGAACACGAGCTCTGGCTCTGGCGCCCTTCCAACCATTTGGCTGTGGGTCAAAAATAGGTACCCCCAGTGGAACCGTGGGAAATGGAAAGAAGGACAAAACCTGCGGACCCCTGGTGGTTTAATTTTGACCCATACCCATTTCAAAATTTTGGTCGCGTCCCTATGGATGGGCGTGACCACTTAGTTTTGGACAAAACTCAATGGTGAACTACCCAGCAACCGGCGCCAGAAGAGGCAGAGCGACAACCCACGGCCTCTCTCCGTAGGCTCCAAGCACCCTAGGCCCGAGAATCGACACCAGAGTTCACCAAAGTACTAGATTAAAACGATCTCAAAGAGTTGTGCGAGAGTCAACATGGCTCAAGGTGCCGTCGAAGGAAGCATCCTGGTCCAAGCCTGGATGCCATGCTAGTCGAGCCCTCGCCATAGAAACCCTCCAAGGTGCCCGAGCCATCCCTGCAGAGTTTTCAGCTTCGACCATCGCGAGCGGCTCGAGGGTTTGCTTTTTTGTTGGCGCCATGCTCCAGAAGCTTTTTGGGCACCAGACCTCCGGCGTCTTTTTTCTTCTGTTTTTCCCGGGGGTTGTGTTTCAGACCTTGGCAGGCCAAGTAGTTTCAATTTCCATCAGCCCATGCTCATGGTCTTGGACACTTGGGATTTTCGGTTGCCCCTTTTTGTGGCACTTTCCCTTGGGAATCTTCATTTCTCTTCTCATTTTTCGGTTGCCCCCACTTTTCCGCTCGGAGACTTTCAAGGTTCCATGTTGATTTTGCAAGGGGAAAGACCTGCGACAACCGTGCCGGGTGATTTATGACTTTCCATGGGATGGATGGATTGTTTCTTTCTTGATGGATGGATATTTTTCAGGAGCTTGCGCCGAATTTTCTCACCGCGTGATGTGTACAAATCACGATCCTAGGCTTCTTTTCCAACAAAACTAATTTGGTGACCAGTTGGTAGACTTCATTTACATGGTGATTGATGTCTTCTACCATTTTTTTGAGGGTGTAAATGGCCTTAGAAGCAATCGGGAGAGGCCTGAGTGCGGTTCCGTCTCAGGACGCACTTGTACAGCCTCACCGCTACTCCCAGCGCAGCTCCCACGTGGAAGGCTGACCTTAGACTCGTTTCTTTTTTCTTCTTCCAATTTTCAGTTGGATTCCCCTCAGTAGATCATTTTCATACCGGGGTTTGATTGTGACTCCATTCAACCTTAAGCAACTTTGCATGCCATTTTGGGCTCGTGCTAGATAAGTACAACTCATATTCAGTTTGTATTTGCGTGTGTGGCCGTGTGGCTATCCCAAGACCACAGACCCATACCAACTGCCCATGCGACTTTCATGTTTATTTTTTTCAATCAACTCATGGATGCAGATTCGTTTATTCCCCTTGGCAATATGAACAACTTGGTCCATCCCGCCCCGGTGCTCTTCTCAGATTTTCCCGCTCCCAAACACCGGGTAATTTTTGGGCTCCTCTAGGTATAGCAAAAGTAATCCATGGATTCCTTTTGGAGGTACAACTGGTCCTCCCGGGCAAAGACAGCCGATGCGAGACGGATTCGAGGAAAGATTAAGCGGGTACCCGCCGAAAGTTTTGTTCTCTTCTGACTAATGCAACAAGTCACCCATTTTGTCGACCGGTTTGGTGGTTAGCAAAGTGTGCTCGTGTTCACCGTTGAGAAAAATGAAGTAAAATAACTAATCGCTGGGTTTTCTCCACGTTTGCCTCGTGTGCCGAGTCCGTGGGGAAATCTCCGGGACTTTTCACTCCCCCTCCTGTCATTGAAGAATTTGCCGGGAATTGGAAGGCCGACTCACAAGCACCCGAGACAGTTGTGTTTGTTGACAAGCACCCGTGGGCAGCCTAGGTTCCTGTGAAGGACACCATGCGTCCGAACAGGATGTTGAGGACAACTTACGGAATCCTGGTAGGAAGCTCAAAGTAATGTTCTTGAGCCACAGAAACCAAAACAACGCGACCAACCTAAGGTGTAATTGGTGAAACGGCTCGGTTTGAACGAGGGTTGTGTAAAATCCAGAGGTTTATCCCCACTTCAATCTCCCCCTATTGGGGGTTAATCTTTCCTTATCATAGCAGTCATTACCGCAGCCCTGGCTACCGACGCTCTACCGACGCTTCCCCGCGCGCGATTTCGCCCACAGATTTTGCAGCTCCGGCGGGCTCTGGGCCAGCTGTCATTCCGGCGCTTGCTGCTGCTCTCAGTACCTCGCTTTGGTTCGATGGATGCCGCGAAGAAGAGAGATGTCAATGTGGCGTGGTACGAGATGTCAATGTCCTTGTAGTAAACAACAGCTTGATTGTAAGAGAGAGAGAGAGAGAGCGAGAAAGAGAAAGAGAAAGAGAAAGAGAAAGAGTACTACCTTGTAGTAAGCAACAGCTTGGTTTTAACGCGAGAGATAGAGAGAGATGTCAAATATCATGTTGCACTACTTGTCACTTGTGCATGCATGATGTACACTACCCGACTGCAGGCCTTGAGTCTACCAGAAAAAGAGTGCATGCTGGCTGACTACATTTGTGTGTGTGATAACTGAACAACACTTGCACTAGAAGTAAAGTATCAACGTATTTTAACGTGGTAGCGGAGCTGAGATCCTAAACATAGGGGAGCTGCAGTAACAGCAGTAAGTACTACAACTGCACAGGCAACCAACATGCCCAACTACTACGACATGTCAGGAGAACCAGCAGCAGCATCAGCACAACCAACTACAGGAGCAGACAACGGGCCCACAGCAGAAGAGACAATAGGAGCCACAACTACGGGAACAACACAGGAGCAGGAAGACGTCCAAAGGCTACACAAATACAAACTGCCACCACCGTTCTTCACTGGTGACTACTCACAGTATGAAGAGTGGCTGTTCAAACTACAAGCATATCTCGGACTTATCGACCGAGACTTCGACATGGTGCTACAACTAGCACAAGCAGCTACAAGACAAATTGAAGATGCAGACATCAGAGCCCACATACGCGACCCTACACAGGCAGCAAAAGCAGTAGACCTCTCACGAGATCTACACTACATCCTCATCAACATCTGCCAAGGAGCAGCAGCTACAGTGGTTAGACAAAACCGCTACAATGCCAATGGATGTGAAACACTACGGCTTTTGCACAACAGGTTCGGCCTACCAGTAGGAACACGCAGTGTTGGCTACCTCACCAAACTAGTGGAACCTACATTCAATGAAGCACAATTTGAAGAACAATTCCTACAGTGGGAATACGACATCAACCGCTACGAGAAAGACAACGGCACAGCACTACCAGATGGAGTAAAGATTGCAATACTACTCAACAAGACCAAAGGAGCACTCCAACAGCATCTCCAACTACGTGCTGGACAGATCACGAACTACAACGAGATCAGAGTTGTCATCCTGGACTACTACAAAACCATCTCTGCATTCTCAAGAGCGAGCTCAGCAGTTGGCACAAACTACAATGGTGGGACAGCACCGATGGACGTGGACAACATTTGGAGAAAAGGAAGAAACTACAAAGGCAAAGGCAAATATGGAGGCAAAGGACACTACAAAGGAAACAAAGGAAAGGTAAGTACAGAAGCAAAGGCCACTACAAAGGATTCGACAAAGGCAGCAAAGGAAACTACAACAAAGGAGGATACAACAAGAACAAAGGAAAAGGCTACTCAGGATCCAAAGGACATGGATCAAGCAAAGGCTACAAAGGCCAAGGAAACTACAGCAAATCAAAAGGAAAAGGAAACAACAATTACACAACATGCCATCGATGTGGCAAACCAGGCCACTGGGCACAAGACTGCAGAGTGCCAGTATGGCACATAGGAGAAGGAGAAGAACTACATCCACTAGAACAAGAACAAGCAGATCACGACAACAATGAAGAACTACCTCAGGATGTGAACGACACTTGGGACTGGTACTACGAAGGAGAAGAAGGACAACACGAGGTGAACTACATGGAGGAGAACTGGAACGACTACGACTATGACAACAGCTGGGATTGGAATGACAACAGCTATGAGGACACAGCAAACTACATTGGAGGCATCAACGAGTCACACCTCACCATTGGACACATCAGACAAGCAAACTCACGACTACACAAGCACAAATCCAAATCACTACTTGGCAAGAGAACAACACACACAACATCATGGAACGACCACAGCAAGAGCTTTCAACAATTCCTACAAGAAGACAACACACAGCCACACTTTGATATAGCAGCAGCCAGACAACAACAAAGGAACAAGAAGATTGAGAACACTATCACACACTACATCATGTACTCAAACTTCAAGTCATACCACTACCTGCTGATCGACTCAGGAGCGTCTACACACGTTTGCCCGAAGGACTACGCACCAGACCTACCGCTACGACCTTGTGGAGAATCGGTTCCACAACTCTACACGGTTACCAACAAGCAGATTCCTGTCTACGGCATCAAGTACGTTCCCTACAAGCAGGACAACTTCAGGATCATGATACCCTACTACGTTTGTGATGTGAAGTACCCAATCCTCAGTGCATCAAGACTACTTGATAGAGGATATGGACTTGACTTCACTCCACGACACTGCACCATCACACATGGACAACAACAAGCACACCTCATCAGACACTCAGGACTTTTCTACCTACGAGCAGAGAAGATCGACATCCCTACAGGATTCGACATCTATCCAATGACTACAGACAGTGGAAAATCCATTGCTGTGATTCAACCTACAGAGAGAGCAGCACAACAACAGAACAAATCGCACCACTCACACACACAGACCAAGGACTACGACAGATCCTTGGTGGAAACACTGACTACTGGAAACTTGATGGTGACTACGCCATCAGAGTCGCACCACTCACACACACACAGACCAAGGACTACGACAGATCCTTGGTGGAAACACTGACTACTGGAAACTTGATGGTGACTACGCCATCAGAGTACACAAACGACCACGCAAAGCACTATTCACACCACACAACAGTGGTTGCCCAATACCTGAAGAAGAACTAGATGATTGGCGACTAACCATCATCAACAGACAAGGGCAAGAGCAAGAACAACTACAAGAGAACCCAACACAACTCTCCAAGCAAGAACTACAACGAAGACTAGAAGGTGACAACTGGACTGGAGAAACCAGATTCAGAAGAAAGATAACACCTACACGCAGAGCAACATCAAAGACAACACCAACAAGGCAGAGCTCACAACCACAACGGCTAATGGACACACCACCAACCAGATCAAAGATCCAACTACGAGCACCACAAAAGATATGGAGACCTAAAGTAGCACCTTCTACAAATCTTGACACCACACAACCAAAGGAGACAATCCACAGACCACTCACAGCACAGGAGGACAACCAAGACTACTGGGAAAGACAAGGTGAACACTGGATAAGACACCACACATCACTTAGAACAACTCTATTCACTCCAACAGATGGACCAGGACATCCACCAATCAGCACACTCGAACCTCACAGAACTACAATCACTCACAACAACTTTGGAGAAGTTTCCCAACGCAAAGATGACTGGATAGTCATGGGCAACGCAGCACTACCATTTCAATGGAAAGGAACAACAAGGTTCACCGTGAAGAAAGACTACGAGTACATCCAGGAGAACCACGATGAGGAACAACAACACGAGCATCATGAAGCACACAGAGCAATAGGACTACGACAACCTCAGCAGCCCACTCCACAACAAATAGCAGAACACAACTTGACACACCTACCATACGGAACTACGCCCATGGATGCGACTACGCTGGATGTCATGCCGATGGAGGTTACTACATCAGCGCCAGAGACTACTCTGCCCGTCGAACAACAGGCTGGCAGTACTACACCGGACCGTGTTTTCACACCACCGGATCGGCAGGGCACTACCGACTCCGGCAGCATGGCTACTTTGGCCACTCCACCACCTGAGGCCTACAACTCCCTCAACTACAACTTCAATCACCAACTACCCACACCGGCACCTTTCTACAGACCCGACGACATCTTGGCACACCTCACTACAACTGAGAACAACATCCCCGACACTCCAGCGATCGACCCGGAGCAGAACTACTTCAGGGTCTACGCGGCTTTGACGCTCGAGGAGTTCCAACTACTAAGTCAACAACAAACTACACCCATCCCCGAGCTCAACTACAACCTACCAGTTCACGACCTACCTTCAGACCTACGGATGCCACACTACGACTCACTACCTCTTCACCTACGTCTTTCAGAGGCAGTCAACTTCTACTACTACAACCTTACATCACTACACCTCACAACCCAGTACACCAACTCGATGGTCATCATCCAACTACACATTCCACCAGAAGTTCTACTACGATTTGTCAGCGCTGGACAACTCGTCAACTTCTGCCGCGACTACGTGAGCCACATGATTTCCATCAAAGATGAGCACCACCTACCTACACGCCAGCTACATCAACGACTACACCGAATCACCTACAACTTGGACCAGATCACCACTACATTCAACCTGTCCAACAACTTCATTTGGAACTATCACATGCCCCTGTACCTACCAGAACTACTCAACTATTTCGACCAACCACAACAACTCCAAGACCACCACTACAAGTCCATCAACACGATGCTACACAAAAGTGTCACCTACTACGGCATCACCCTCCTCACGGCTACAAATCTTTCCATGCAACACAAACTACTACTCCACAACTACCTCACTACCACCGGCCAAGCACTTGCACCACCGGAATGCGACTACAACCGCCTTCGTGGCGGTCCAGACTTCCTCAACACATTCACTACCAACCACTATGCAGGCTTGGACTACCGCATCAGCCAAGTCAATTTCACTTCTTGATCATTTGAAGGTTAGTTGCACTACAGACAGCAGCGCTGTAGATACCTACCTTCGGTCATCTTTTTTTTAAGAGACTACATGCCTGTTCGCTACAGTAGCATCGGCAAACAACATGTGCATTCGTTTTTGCCCTTTTGGGTCTATGGTTAAAGGACACTACAAGGTCTTTTAACCAAGGGGCCGTGTCAAATTTCATGTTGCACTACTTGTCACTTGTGCATGCATGATGTACACTACCCGACTGCAGGCCTTGAGTCTACCAGGAAAAGAGTGCATGCTGGCTGACTACATTTGTGTTTGTGAGAACTGAACAACACTTGCACTAGAAGTAAAGTATCAACGTATTTTAACGAGAGAGAGAGAGAGAGAGAGCCACGCCGCTTGGGAAGCTTCGACATTTCGCAAAGCCAGAACTGCGGAGAAGTTCCTGGGCTGGTTTTCGGGCTGGGCTTGGTGAAAAGGGAACCCCCAGCGAGTTTTGAGTCATGCATCCAGATGTCTAAGGAAACCACGGCGTGGGCCTTGGGAGAGCTATTGGAGCTGCAAGCGCAGGTGGGCGCAGCTTAGGACCCGCGGCCACTCTGCCGGACTCTGAGTTTGTCCCTGGCGATTCCAATGGAAAGGGGTGAGGCAAATTGGGGGGGCTTCCGGCGGCTGAGGGGGGGTATTTTATCCGACAGGGTGGGGGTCCATTTCGAGAAACTTCACCATGGTTTCCGCTTTTTCAGGGCCCAACCTTGTGATCATTGGGCTCTCTGGGCAGCCTCTAAAAGACATGCGTGTGACCCGGGTGAGCACCCAACGAAAAATGCATTCGGACGGGGGGGTCTGTGGAGCGCCCTCGCGCGCTCCATGCAACTCGTGCGCCTTTTCTGCCTGAGCTCGGGAATGGCAACCTAGAGGAAAGGAACACGTCCCGCTTCGATTTCCAGGACTGTTTGCTTCGTCTGAAAACGTTTCGTACATCCATTGGCTGTTTGGCCAGTCTTTTTCCGCTTTGTGGCCCTATCCATCAATGGCCGGACGTGTGCGAAAACTTGGGGAGCGTGAAAGGGAAAACATGTTTCTTTTTTCTTTCCGGACATGCCTGTTGGTCCCATTCCTTATTTGTGGAACTCCAAAAACCAGCTTCGCGTCCTTCACGTTGGAAACGCTTGGAGCTTTTTGACAAGAGGTCCGGCTCTTCACTGGATTGCGCTGTCTGGGGTCAGAAAGCGCCCAGGACACTTGTGGCGGCACGGAGCACGGAGACTGAAGGCCAGCTTGCTCGGAGAGCAGTTTGCTTTTTGAGACTTGCGTTGTCCTCTCGGGCACTGACAAACAGTGCCTGCAGTCCATGGTTTGGGTCCTAGAGTAGTGGAATCCTTGAAATGCCCAAAACGAATCCTCCAACAAAGACGCGCCCAAGTTGAGTTAGGGCCCTTTTCTCCGGTGAGTTGTGGAGAGTGAGTTGCACTCAGTAGCTTGTGTAGAGTGACTCACATGGATTCACTGCAGAATGAACAGGTACTTTGCGTACTACGTTTGCGCGGCGCGAAGCTTTCGATTTGTGCAGAAGCTACAAAAGCGCGCTTCGCGTGCAACTTGTATTACCTAAAGTTGCAGTTTCACAGTCGGAGCTGCGAAAGTGTACTTCGAATTTGCAATCGCGCTAGAAAGGCCGGCTTTTCAAGCCGGAGCTGCAGAAGAGTACTTTGCACCGCTACTGTCGTACTCGAACTTCGCATTCTGCCGGAGCTGCGGATGTGGATGTGGCGTTCGATTTTCGCAGCCAAACGTACGATTTTTGCAGCCGGAGCTGCAGAAGAGCGTTTTCGTGTTAAAAGTTGCGATTTGTGAGCCAGAGCTGGGAAGATTACTTTGCTTCTTGCTTTCGTACTTGAAGATTTCGATCTTCGAGGGCTGCCGCGGACCAGGTAGGAAGCGATTTTATACTTGCAAGTTGCGATTTTCCAACGGAGTTGTGGCGAGGTACGGCGTAACAAATTCGTACTAAACACTTCGCATAGATTTTGTGCAATCTTGAACCAAGTGACTTGCGTAGGGTAACTTGCGACGAGTTACATACTTGGGCGTAGCTCGACGTATCGCGATACGCGAAGCATGTCTGCACAGAGTTCTTCGGCAAAAGGCTTTGGCACCGTGAAGGAGCCAATGTAGCCTAGTGCTGCCTAATCGCCAAACGCACACCCCTTTTCCTTTTCGGCAATAAATGTCCGGCATGCATTCACAAGCAGTTCAAACTTTCTTATGACGGAGGCAGCCCATGAAACTTAATTTGGTTATTCATTGCAGTGTTGCACAGCTGATTGCCACACAATACACATCACACTCAAGGTGCGCAGCTCACAAGAGGTTTTCAGAGGCAGGTTGAGCCTCCCTTGCGATGGACTTCTCAATGAGCTTGGCTTTCCGTATGCCATGATGGGAAGGGTCATCCCCTTTTCCCTAACAATGGACACGGAGCCGGAGTCATGCCTTGGAACCACCCCAAAAGGTAAACCAAAACGAGCTGGTGCGAAAATCCTAGCGCATTCGCCTTTGAGAACGAACTTGCCCAGTACAGGTTGCTTGATTCTCCCTCATAGCTGGTGCAGGGGTCAAACAAATGGAGCCGGTGCCAAGGTGGAAGGCCCGAAGCAAAGATCCAAACCATCCTAGGCCTCGACGCAGGTTCCAAGTTTCAAGGTGGCAACTTGTCAGTCTGAAGAAGCGGCAGGTTGTTCCGCCCTCTAGAACATGAGTGTGCAGGTGTGCAGTCACAATGCTTCTTGTAGCCTTTGGTCTGGACCACTCAGTGAAGCCAACCAGTCTAACGACCTCCTGGTTTTCGTTCTCATGTTCGTTCTAAACGCTCAAGTTGTACATGCAGACCAAACATTTGGGTAGAGCATTCCCTTTGTTTTCCTCGACAAGCATCCAACGTGTGACGGGAGCACCCCTTTGTGTTGGTTGCCAGACCAGATCAGTGCGTTTTAAGGCGGTACAGTGAGCCAAGCTGGCCAGTCCCAAGCATGGGTGCGTTCTTCACGGGGTAATGGACACTTCAGAGCCGGGGCTCTTTCCCGGTGGCCACGACGGCAATTTGTTTTGGGTGCCAACATGGAGCCTTTGCAATACCAGGCTTTGATTGCGCTCGTCACATTTCGTTCGTGCGAGCCCTCGCGGGACTGCCCCAGCCTGGTTTTGAGCGAAATTGCAGAAACAGAATCCGGAGATGGGAGGCCTCCAGCACGGTGGACCCTGTTAGGAAAGCCACATGGAAACGAACCATTTCTATAGGTGTCTTGGAGAAACACTTTCGTTCTGGCGGTTCTGATGTAATTGTTTCTTTAGGGTCCCACCGATTTTTCGACATGGACCTCGTTCCCTCGGTGCTGTGGGTTAACCAACATGAAACCGGCCCCACAAATATGGGAGTGACAAGGTCAGGAAGTCAACCCATCGGCCAGTTTCAAGCGGGAGCGTCGTCAGCTCCAGATTTTGAGCTCACACGTACGTGGGCCGGTGAGGTTTTGTGACAAGCGCGAAGCTCCGTTTGTGAAGAATTTGATCGGTCAGTATGGGGTTTTACATCCATTGCATCCGCAGTGTGGCTGTTCAAGCGTAAAATGTGCGAGCAGCGCACTTGGACGGTTTGTTGTTTCCTTTTGGGCCCCAAACCGGTAACCCTTGAATCTATAGGTTATCAGCCGTAGGCCCCTAGCTCTAAGCAATGGACGGTTCCCTTGTGCCAGTTGATGGATCCAGCATGCCTGTGGATGCTGCCGGAGCTAGCTCCGGCAACGCCACCGGCGGCGGTGTGCGAATGTTCGCATCAAGCGCTAATGCGCAATACAACCGCACCCTGATGAATTCCCTTCAACTGTACAATACCGCAATCTTTGCTTTTGGGAATGATGCAGCCATTAGGTCTGAAGCCGAAGCCCTGCATCAAGCAGCTGTCGCGCATTTGCAAGCGGAAAACCGTGAGGAGCTCCGTGTCGCACAGAATCAGCTGCATGCACACTACGCTGAATGTGTGCAAGCCCAGTCGCATAGAATTCGTGAATACGAACAGCGAGTGAGCGATGAGTTCATCAAGAAGTGAACTTCGCTGAAGCTAGGATAAGCCAAGTGTGTGAGGAAAATGCCCAAGCATTGCATGAAGCGGAAATGAGACACAAAACAACTGAGTTTAGGCAAGCCATCGAATCCACCCTGGCGGAAGCCCAGCAGCTCCTTCATGAGCAAGCTGCCAAGCACGCCGATGACACAGCCCGTGTTGAGGCGACACACGCCAGGACGGTTGACATGATGGCCCACCAAAACGGGCTTCTGCAGGACGAGCTCGATGAGCTGAAGAAGTATCAGAAGCAACACGACCTCCGCGAGGATGGATCGAAGCCCAAAGGGGTAGGTGATACCCGAGAGGATTCACCAGAGTTGATGACCGACGACATGAAGTCAGCTCGGTCCCAAAGGTCAATGTTGGACCCGCTCACCCATCCGTTTCAATATGCAAAGGAAAAGTTGAGGTCGCTTGTTACCTATGACGGTTACGGGGATGAATATACCCCTAGCGTGATTCCAACTGCCGAATGCGAAGCACTGCCCGCAGATGCTCGCGATCCGCAAGGACCAGCTGAAAAGCCATCAGGTAGCAGCCGATCCCCGGTGAAAACAAGTGCACCGGTTCCACCCCTGCAATTCTCTCAGGGGCCAATGTCAACTGACCGCAAGCAGGGTGGCAAGCCTCCTGGCGGTCCGCCACCTGATGATGATGGCGATGGCGATGGTGACGAAGACGATGGTGACGGCCTCGGGCCCAACCTCGGCAATGAAGCATTCGCCAAGATGTTGATGAAGTTAGTAAAAGGCCAAACGAACGATGAAAAGCCCAGAACCCGCGAAAGCGAGACGTTGCGATTCAAGGAGATGCCAACTCCTGAAACGTACCGTGAATGGAAAACATCGGTTCGTGAGGATGTCCGCGCCGCATCTGACCGTCCAGACGAGGCTTGGCCTTGGATCATGGAAGTCTGGTCTGATCGCGAGGACAAGAAGAAGCTGTTGGAGGAGCTCGGCGAACCGGGAAAATTCGTGACCCTAGACACGAAGATTCTCGCAGCGCTCACGCGTTCAGCGAAAGGCGATCTGGCTCAGCGAATCCTAACAGCAAAGGAAGAATGTGCCAAGGAGGGAAAGGCCATGAGAGGAAGGCAGGTCTTGTTTATGTTTGACCAATATTTCAAGACCAGTGAAGAAGCCGGAAACCTCTACTCCTTGGAGGACCTGTTGCGTGTCTCGCGACACGGCGAAGGAATCATCGATCTCAAGCGTTTCCTGAATGCTTGGGATTCCGTGATCGCCGGCATGAAAAAGCCGCCGGAAGAAAAGGTGTTGAAAGACATCTTGCTTCGCCAAGTGAGAAGCTGCCATCTGTTGCGGTACGACATCGACACATATGATCGTTGCCGTGATGATGATCCCAATAAATCGTACGATTTCCTAATGCGTTGCATGAGGGATCTAATCGAGAGGGATAGGCTTCGCGAGAACCGAGAGCGCGTGTCCAAGGTCAATGCCAGTAAAGCCCCGACGCCCAAGGCTGGTGCTGCCGCCCCTGAAAAGAGGGACCCCAAGAAAAAGAGCGCACCTAAGCCGAAGGACACCGAGGAGAAGTACTGTTTTGACTTCCAGAAGGGTTCGTGCACGAGGGGGGCAAACTGCCCTTACGCGCACCGCAAGGAGCCGCGAGGACGCTCCGCGACCCGCGGCAGGCCAAGTTCCCCCAAAGGCGGTAAAGGAGAGAAAGCACCGTGTTCTTTCTTTGCCCAAGGGAAGTGCACTAGAGGTGACAAATGCAAGTTTAGCCATGCCTCCACGGGCGGCAAATCTGCCGCCGCGGCATCGAGCAGCGAGGCCAATGCAAATCCTGCGGCTAAGAAGCGTGCAAATTCACCTAAGCCTAAGCCCAAGGCCAAAGCCGCTGCAGTCTGCACCAGGTACGCCATGTTCGCAAAGCCGATCGATCCAATCGGAGTGTCATTCGACACCAATGCTCATGTGCATGAGATCCCCGCCGAAGGCGATGGTTTTAAGCTTGAGTATGAGGAACGGCAGTACAATAGGATGTTTCCAAGTGCCAAGGACTGCCCCAGGCCGACCAAAGGGACTAACAAGGCAGCGCGCAAGGCCGCGAACCAGTTGAATGCCGTAGTCAAAGCCATGGAAAATGGAGCCCAGCCCGCTTGTGGTTTCATGTGCGATGTGGAGTCCGATTCCATCTCAAGCCTATCGTGTGATGAGTGCCTGAGAGTTGCCATGCCGCCTCACGATGTTCGCAAGGATGTCGAAGCGCCAAGGGCAGCCACCCCTGC